AAACCTTTACCTTTAAGGACAAATGCAGCTCCAGATATATGTTATTCAACCTTTATGAAATTTTCGCATTGTCTCTTTCCCTGCTTCACATGTCAAATTGTTTAGCACAATCAATCATGCATGAAACAAAATAGAAAATAAATAAAATTAAATTTGCAAGAAACCTATTACCAGATAAAATCTAAGTTCTGGATCTCATGGCAAAGGGTGAACCTTTTGAATTGAGATCCACTTTATGTACTAATATCCTTGCGCCAGCTAAAAAAGAGAACAAATCAAGACATTAGAATGTGAAGTTGTTACTTGACCAAAATAATAAGTTATTAGATATATATCAAATCAAAGAGAAAATATTATTTTATAACTTAATAAATTAGTACCTTCGGATGGCTAGTGAACGGTCGATTCCAAGCTCCATTTGACATCCCAATTGCCTAAAGTTTCTACTGTAAGGATGTCCATCTGTCGAGGTATATGATTCTCAGCAATTGAGTATAATTTCCTCGAATGCACGAAGACATTGGTGTTGCTGAAGTATTTGTTTTCTTTGCCAAATCTTAACTGAAATATTCAAGAACAAATAACAGATTATTTTGTACCGTAAATGTCCATTATCTATGTACTTGCTTTGCGTTTTTTAAGGTAGAATTTAGTGTAGCCTGATCTAAATTGTTTGAAATAGATGTTTTAGGCAAAAAAAAAAAAAAACAAAAAAAAGTCTGCAAATGTCAAGTAACTCTGTCCAAATTTAGATATTTGGCCAAATAATATGTTTGAATACTCCAAACATTATTTTTGTCGAGCATTAATCAGGTAATTTCCTAGTTACACTAACAGTCTGTGTCATGATATATTTTTCAAGTGAATTGAAAAACACTCTGTCATGATCAGATGGAACAAAAAGCAAAAAGAACCTAGGTAGGTTGAACTTATGGTAACTTACAATAAGTACATTCCAGCCAATTGTATTTAAATATTTAGCCCGTTCTATAATGCTATTAGGGGTAGGTTACAATTGCAGGTCCAAGTCAGTTTAGAAAGTCCTGAGTGCATAAAATTTTGGAAATCGTTTCAGCCAGCCGACCTGCAGATCAGCTGGCTGAACATATCAATCAGCTGGCCTAACCTCACTTTCAACCGACCGATGTGCCATTTTAGCAAAGTCCCGAGAGTATGAAACTCTGAGTAACGTTTCGGCCGACTGACCATCTCAGTCTACCGCCCGACCATGCATTTTCAGCCGGCTGACGAAAGGCCATCAGCCGGCTGACTTCTCCATCAGCTGGCTGACCTTATCTATTGACTTGTACTTTGACTTCTCCTTCTAAGCTATGTTTTAGAAAGACCTTGAGACCCTCAAATGATCTGTATATCCCTAGTGGGTATAGGAAAGGATGGGATTTCCCTTAGTTGACCCGGGTTCGGGTAATGACCCGGTTAAACGGTTCGGACCCGCGAGTTTGAGTCTTACAAAAACACTTTGTCATGATCAGATGGAACAAAAAGCAAAAACAACCTATGTAAACTTACAATAAGTAGTAAGTACATTCCAGCCAATTGTATTTAAATATTTAGCCCGTTCCATAATACTATTAGGGGTAGGTTACAATTGCAGGTCCAGGTCGGTTTAGATTTTGTAATAGCCTTATGTTAATTTTTTATCATCAGATGTTTAGTTACCTCATACTCAATCCATATAATTATGTTGTCATTTTCCTATCATTATTGATGCTTTCTTCTAGTCTCACAAACAAAAATTTGTCCTCTGTTTTGTCTTCATCAAAAAATAATAATCCAAATTGTTTGAAGATTAAAATATACAATCCCACTAGTTAAGGAACATAGGAACTATGACATAAAAAACAAGTATGCATGTTACAATATGTATCCTTACGTACCATTTCTTGTGTAAACACCTTGCGGAAAATAATCCGGAATCCACCCTTCAATATTGGTAACAAGAACAGCTTTTCTCAAGTTTAAGTCACACGAACTGGAGAGAAAGCAAATTTCTAGAGCGTAAGCGGCAAAATCTGAATCACACAGAGTGGGAATGGGTGCAAAAGTGGCAAAATCTGGATCACACAAAGTGGGAATGAGGCAAGTGCACACTCACACTGTTAAAGCTGCACTCGAATTATGTGACTTAGCTCCCAACTCTTCAACCAATGAAAATTACCAAATCTTTGGATATTTAATTTGTGTCCCAGAGTCTGCATTATTTATGAAAGACTAAAGCATGAGAATGGTAACTGAGATGGGACAGCAGGGGCGGCTTAATACAATTTGAGGCGTTAGGTGAAAAAAATAAGTAGCCTTTTTATTAAATCTATCCATATATTTATGCTAGCTAATTATTTGTTTAGTAATTTTTAAACCTGTCACTAAAAATTTTCCAAACTACAATTCCATCCTTAATTAATTGGCTATGTACTATTTAATAGTCATATTTAACAAGATAAATAAAATTTATATTTTTATGATAACAAAAATTAATAAAACTATAAACTAATTTAAGTTGTAGAATAATAAAAACTGATTTCGAATAATTTGGTCTAATGCTCCAATAAATTCTTTAATAGAATATAAGTGTATTCAAAATCTTCTTACGGAGTGAGATTGTGAGATTGTAAATTGTAACAGTGGAGAAGATGAAAAAACAAAATTTATAATGAGAGGAGAAAAAATATGAGAGGATTAAGAAAAAAAAGAGAAAATAAAAATTAATAGGAGTCTTTGAAAAATATAGAAAGTTTCAATATATATTTAATATTTAATTTTAATGTGTGTGTATATGTATGCTGATGTAATGAGAAAAAAGAAAAAAAGATAATGTAAGGATATATAATTTAATGATATAAGAAAATAAAATATTTAGGTAAGTTATAATATATAAAGAAAAAAATTTTGGGGGTCCTCAAAAAAAGATAAAGAATAAAAAAATTTTAGATCAATTGTCAAATTTTTCTATACATTGAAGTTTAATAATTACACGAAATACTATAATTGTGTTTAGCAAAATTATAATATATAAATAAATAAATAAATTATGAAGCCTTCTTATTGATTGGGGCCTTAGACAACCGTCTAACTCGCCTAAGGCTCGAGCCGGCCCCGGATGGAAGCAATGGCTGGTCATTGAATTCGAACACTGAGTCAACAAAGGCATCCAATAGTCTCACAGGAGTGTTCTTGATGATTTCAGAAACACTGATTTGCAGAGGAACTTCCTGCAATTCTCTCAACAGTCCTGTTAAAATCAATTAAAATAAATAAATAAGCCATAAACCACCCTCCTAGGTTTCATATTCTTCTTTCTCATCACTCCCTTTCTGGACTGGGTTAACCCCTCTTTCTCTCTCTAACCAAATGCACCAGAACTTTCACCTTTGTATTTCTCTCTCCTCTCATCTTACAAAATTCTACTGTGTCTGCTCTTTATATTTGTATCTCCCAAATTGGCAAAGAATGAAACTTCCATTTCTAGCATTTCAATCTTGTTGAATTGGAAATTTATCTAGGGTTTAAGCAAGAAATCTTTCTTATACTCTAATCTCCAGTGGACATAAACCAACTTCCAATCAGACTCTTCCATTTGGATCTGCTGTGACGACACTGACAGTGAGAATGATTTTATTAGGGTTTCTAATGAAGGTATAGGATTGTATGTGGATAGATACAGAGCTCCATTAGCAGGGTACGTGTAGCATTTGGGTTGTAATGTTGTTTAGATAAATTTGTGGTGTTGTTTGATGATAATATCATTAAACTTATTATGGGGATTTGATAAGTTAGTTGTTTGTGGGATTGGATTATTGCATGTAAATTGGATTAACTGGGTGTATGTGATTGGGGAATGGGTTTGGCCGCCGATGGTGGTGGTAGTGGGGGAGTGAGGGAGACAATGGTGGTGGGGTGGAAAGATTGAAATAGAAGACTGAAGAGTGAGAGAGGAAATAGGTGGTTGTGGTGTGGCCAGTGACTTGGCAGTGCCAGAAGTACTGGTGTGATGGTGGTGGAGAAAATAGACAGTATAAACGTATAAACATGTTGCGTGCCTCAACCAAAATATTTCTTTCAGATAAGATGTCCTGTTTTGGGAATCGCGACTCGTGTTTTGGGAACCATAATTCACATGAGTCATGAGTCACGGTTCTCAAAATATGACATCTTTTCTGGAATAGAGATAGTAGAAGTTAGGGCCATTTTTGTACAAATGTATTTGAACTTGAGGGTATATTTATAATTGTATATTTCACCTCAGGGTGTGTTTGGATGGATGCGATGATTTGGAGGAATTGTGAGAGAAAAGAAAAGAAAAGAAAGGATAGGGTTCAACTGTGTTTGGGTGACCCTCTCTATCCCTCATTTGCTATTTCCTCAAAAATTGAGAAGATAGAGAGAAAACAAGTGTGATTTAGTGATATTTTGATAATACCAAAATTAGCTTCCACAAATAAATAAACAGATTTGTTATTCTATTCAAGTCTAAGTTAACCACTTATAATTATAAAAGAGTATGACAGTAATTTGATTATTATTCTTTCTTTTTCTTTTCTTTTCTCTCCTTTATCTTATCCAAAGAAGAATGACTATCATTTCTTTTCTATTCTCCCTTATCTATCCAAACATGAATAGAAATTATTATTATCCTTTTTTTTCTTTTCTTTTTTTTCTCTCCTTACTAATACTATCATTTCATTTCTTTCTCTTATATGTATCCAAATGCACCCTCAATCTTACCAAGGAATCATTAATGTGAAAGAAGACTCCAAAGTTATTTTTCAAAAGAATAATTAAACCAAATCTATAGAGAGCGGAAGTGGTTTGGTTGTTTGATTTAGATGTTATGAATTTGAAATGGGAAATAGCTTCTCCATATTAAACTAAAATAATAAAGGGTCCAAGTAATTTTCTTTTATAATAATCACAAACTTAGAAAAGTAAGTATGTGTCTTAATCACTATCTTATCCAATTGGAAAGACAAAAACATCGCAACATCAGATTATAAAGATTATAAAAATATCCCCACAAGAGTGCATTAATAATATATTACAAAATTCTACATTAATTTTTATTAGAGTAGTCCACCAAATATCAAATGGTGTAGAACCATCTAATAATTTTTGGTGTTTATTGCCAATAACATAGCTTTTCTCCACGTCTCCAGTCTCCGGGCACTATTGATCCTGTAATTGTTGAGAGGGCATTGAAATGAAAGCTGAATGAAAACCATATGGCACTCTACATGGCAGCATAATTTTGGCCACTGGCTCACTAGTGAAATTCTTTGCATCAATTAAGTAAACCTGCAAGAAATGTGTTTAAGTCAATATAAATTTACATCAACATGACAATATTTCAATAACAACAATTATTGAAGACATAAATGAATTACCTGAGATATACAATTATCTTCATTATAAATAAAACAAATGATCCAACCATCGTCTTCCTTAGAATCTCCACGTTTAGGAACAAATGCAGCTCCAGAACAGAAGGTGTTCTTCTCAAATTTATGATATTCAGCCTTTACAAAATTTTCGCATTGTTTCTTTCCCTGCTTCACTTGTCAAAAGTGTTTAGAAAATTAGCACAATTAATCAAACATGCATGAATCGTAATAGAAATAAATAAATAAATGTGCTTGAAATCTATTACCAGATTAAATTCGGGTTCTGGTTCTCCTAAGTAAAGCTTGGCTAGTCCGCTATACTTGGCCATGCCTAAATTATCAAATCGACGGACCATTTTAGGTCAAAAAATTAACAATTTAAATACTTTTTCTCCAAGGTTATTGTTTGTAGATTACCTGAGGCAGTGCTCGCGCTAGAATCAACAACCTGAGTGTAACCATATTTATTTTTAACACCCGTAAAATTTCCATTAATGAAAGGAAAATCCAAGGCAAATTCGGTTCCAGTGAGATACTTTTCCTTGACCTCTCCATTTAGCATGTTTAATCTCCATTCATAACAACGAGCAAATAATAATCCGTCTTGTGTCAAACTATCATCATATTGATCACCAGCTGAAATCACTGGCTTAAAACCTCTTGAAAACCACTCAAATTTGTTCAAACCATAATCGGGGCCTGGTATGACTGATCCACGAGCTCTACACGCACACACCACAACCTGTTCTTCCTCATAAAAAACATAATTTTCAAAATTGTGAATCAGTTATTGGTTTGAATTCTTCTTTTCAAAGGCATGCACTGCTCAAAAAAAGTATATTGACAATTTGTACTGTGTACTGTTCTTGCTGGTTAGTTACCTCATCACCATCCTCATAACAGTTGAGAATGTGAAATGCACAACTCGGTGCCACCTCAAACCACCGAACTGATTCTGCATCACCAAAACGAGGCATTACCCCAATCCTTGCATACTCTTCCTTATCATACCTCACCAATCTGCAGATTAACATTAATAATATATCAGAAAAATATCTTTAGGAAATAATTTGAAACCTTATTTTAAACTTCTTCGAGAAAGGATTTCAAGAATTTGTACTCACGGCCCTCCTCTAATGAGTCGGACAACGTCTAGAGTTATTGGAAAATCTATGATCACATTATACCTGCAAACCATAAAACCAAATAAGCTGAACTATAATTAATGGAAACCTAGCTCCAAACTGAGGCAAAGAGATTGGATTATTAATTTACCTCTGTGTAACACCTATCTCATGGCAAAGGGTGCACCTCTTGAATTTGAGATCCACTTTATGTACTAATTTTTTTCCGTCAGCTAAAAAGAGAGGAAATCAAGACATTCAAATGGAAAATCTGTGATCACAAACTGGTTCTCTTAGGCCCCATTTTTTCCTATCTTTTTTTTTTATATATATAAAAAAAAATGTTTATATTTCGCTATAAGAGTATACCTGAAATCACTCCCAGAACAAAGTAAGGTTTCATTACATCAACACCAATTATGACCAGATCCCCGGTACCTGGAGCTTTCTGCCACATGTAAAATTGTTGCTAGAAAAATTATTAAGTTGTTTGATATCAAATCAAAGATAAAATAGTATTGTATAGCTAATGAATTAAGTACCTTCGGGTGGGTAGTGAATGGTCGATTCCAAGCTCCATTGACATCCCAATTCCCTAAAGTTTCTAGTGAAAGGATGTCTATCTCTTGAGGTATATGATTCTCAGCACTTGAGTATAACTTCCCCGAATGCATGAAAACACTGGTGTTGCTAATGTATTTGTTTACTTTGCCCAATCTTAACTGAAATATTCAAGACGAAATAACAGACAATGGTGTTCCTTAAATGTCCATCACCTATGTACTAAATCTTCTGCTTATTTTTGGTAGAATTTATCGTAGCCTTAACCAATTTTTTTTGCTTAAACTTTTGCAAACAAGTCAGCAAATGTATGGGGATTATCAGAAATACTATGGCTTTCCATGTTTTGATTGAATATAATTATTGAAAAAAAAAAAAAAGAAAAAAAAAAAAGAAAAGAAAACTACATAGTAAATTTATTCTTTCCCAATTATAGATATTTGGCCAAATAATGTGTGCAGACTACGCACAATACTGTTGTCTAGTATTAATCAGATCATATCCTAGTTGGGAGACTACAGGCTCAATCGAAAATAGATATACGCGATAGTTTAAATAGGATAAGACGACTGCATTGTTGGGGGAATCTGCTCACCAAATTTAGCAGATGAGCTGACAAAATAGCCAGTGGATCCCCTTCGACAGTTGGAAGAAATGATGGTTTATTTCTGTGTCTTTCTAACTTGAATGTCTCGGTATGAACATGTTTGTTGTTATAGAAGACATTCCAGCTTCCACCACTATCTTTATTAAAATACGAAGCATGAAGCATTCCTTCTCCTTCCACCCAAATGTGACTTGATCTTCCAAACATAGATGTTGTTGATTTTAATCCTCCAAAAAGCGGGTTTGCACCTGCAAATACAATACAATTCACAAGCTAACAATATTTTGACTTATTGTTATTTCTTGTGATTCATAATCAAAAGGGTGGCCCTGTTAACTGTTTGGCACTTTTACTGCAAACAATTGGTTATCAACAAATGATGAGATAGAGAGCTAAATTAACTGTTCTGTGTTTCGTCACTATAACAACAAATTCCTTTATATTTTCTAAGTGAATCGAAGAGCACTCTGTCATGACCAAATGAAACAAGAAACCAAAAGAATTACAAAATAATTAAATTCCAGCCAATTGTATTTAAATACTCCGTATTTAGTGAGCTATATAATGCCATTAGGGGTAGGTTACAATTGCAGGCAAGTTTAAATTTTGTATATATCAATTTTATTTTGTTTTCATAACATTATTCAAAAAAGCAATGACAAAAAAATAATAATTCCAACTAGTTTGAAGAATAAAATATACTATCCTATCAAGGAAAATAGGAACTATGACAGAGACAAGTATGCATATTAGAACTATGACAGAGACAAGTAAGAATATGATATGTACCATTTCTTACGTAAACACCCTCCGGAAATTCATCCGGAATCCTCCCTTCAATTTCGGTAACAAGAACAGCTTCTCCCAACTCTTCAACCGGAGCAAAGTTACTCTGCTAGTATGTAGATGTAATTAACAACCAACCAATCAAAATTATCACATCAACGTATTTAGTTCACGTCCGTGCATGTGCGTTAGTATGGAAGATTAATGCATCACAATGGTACCTGAGATGGGAGCAATGGCTGATCATGGAATTCAAACACCGAGTCAACAAAGGCATCCAATAGTCTCACAGAAGTGTTCTTGATGATTTCAGAAGCTCTGATTTGCAGAGGAACTTCCTGCAACTCTCTCAACAGTGGCTGCTCATTGAAACCAAAACTATATCAGTTACGCTTTTATAGAAATTTTAAATTTTCATTTTAATATGGCTCTATTTTTGGTAGCTAGGTGGATAAAGTTAGCTTCATTCATTATCATTATTTAAAAATAATAATAATAATAATAATAATAATAAAGGAGGTGCCAGAATGAAGCTAAAATTAAGCAGATAAGATTGAACTTGAATTGGAAATAAATTTGCTTAAGCAGATTCAGACAATATAATTCGGAGAACAGAAAGCATTTTAACGAGCTTGCATCATACCAGAGAGAAAGAAACATATATATGTGTGTGTGTGTGTGTGTGTGTCTATATATATAGAGAGAGAAAGAGGGAGAGAGATTTAATAACCTTGAAAGCAGAGGAGAGAGAGGTCTTTAAGTGATCAACTCTACGTGAGATTGAAGGTCTCTGGACAGAGCAATTCACTCGAAATTCACCAACCGAAATGGCCATCTCTCACAATCTCTCTCTCAGAGTGATGTCTTGAAGTGATCAACTATTCGTGGTAAAAAAAAAAAATGTAATCAACTCTGTGGGAGATGGAAGGTCTCCGGACTGAGCAATTCACTTGAAATGTACAAGTTGAAATGGCTCTCTCTCTCTCTTTTATAGAGTAAGTATACGCCTTAGTCATGTCTTATTCGATACTCTGAAAGAGCATCTGGACGATCAATTCAAGAGTAGGATCAAAACAAGCTACATCGTACTGGATTTTTTTTAAACCCAACACGAGTACCGATAAGAACTTCGAACAGAATGGCATCAAATGTTACCCCACCTATTGAGATGCTGAATCCTGTTGGGGTCCACCCACATTATGAAGAAAGAAAAAAACAAAAAAAAAAGACATGAAAGTCAACAAAGTCTTGCTGGTGTGTGTTTGTATTTGTCAGTGAAAAAAGTTTAGATTGTGTGCGCAACAGTGATGGTGTATAGCGAGGGATTAAGCAGTGTCAGGATATGATGGAAACATGCAACATAAATTGTACATGTGTGCATTTAATGTATTTGTTGCATGTGGTGAGTGATTTTAGCCCTAAAATCCCGTTGCAAGTTGATCAATTGCAACAAGCGTGAATGTATTGTGAGATATTATTTTATTTTGGGGAAAGTCTGAAAAATACCTTATGGTTTTAAATTTGTGTGATTTACATCCTTTTATTTAGATTTATTTATATAAATTCGTATCAGATATTAAAATGTGCAATTAAGCCACGCCGATGACTATTCCGGTGAGAACATGCACATGACCATTTTAAACCCTTTATTTCAGAATTGCCCTTTTAATACTCCTTTACTACCCCCTCACCATATATATATATATATTTGTATATATGAGTTTTGAACTTCTGATTCTTGTAAATTTTGTAGTTTGCAGTTAGAGAGAAAGAGAGAGGGTAACAAATTAAGCCACCACCTTGATTAGTTTATTTAGAAAGAAAAAAAATTAAAACAAAACCCATACATACAAGCAGTTGCAGAGAGAGCCGGGGGCGGGGGGGGGGGGGGGGGGGGGGGAAGCTCGAGAGTTGAGAGAGAATGACGGCTTTCGAAGGACAAAGAGCAGGGTGTGTGCAGAGGATTTGCCCCCAAGCTTGTGTCGAGGGTGGTGCTCCGCCGCCGGAAGTCGCTTTGTCGCCAGAATCTTATGGTCCACTGAGTCATTTGTCATCCCCGCCGGGTTTTCACCAGGATATCCAATCTGAAGCGGCCAAAAATGGCGTTCAGAGCTCGATTATGGCTCTCTGTTGTATAGGATTGTATCTATTGGTATGAAAATTCATTATCTTCCCCATAATTATTTATTTTTTTGAGAGTTTTCGCCCATTTTTCATACGGGTAATTGAATTACGCTACAAAAGTAGCCATTTTTTATTTTATTTTATTATCTAATGCGTCTTTGATTGGGAGATATTAATCGTGTTTCAAGTTGAAATAATTTAGATGTAAAAGCAGCAATTTTGTTTCTGGATATCCAATTTATTGTTGTAAACAGCTTGAATTTTTTGAATCCCACTATCAATTCTCAAGTTCAAACTTTCTGATCTCTTTGGATCTCTCTCTCTCCTTTTCATTTTTACTTTCTGTAATTCTACAATTTCAATTCAAAATTAAAAAATATGTAGATTTCTCGAAATTGGGTTTGTAAAATTGAGTGAAAATAATCGAATTCAAAGACCCACTTTTCTGATCCCGAACAGCGAACCCGAACTGGAACAGCGGGCGATGGAAACTGAAAGATATTGGTTTTGATTTTTTGAACAATTTGAAATGGAAACTGAAAGATATGGGTATTGATTTTTGGAACAATCTGAAATGGAAATTGAAAGATATGGGTTTTGATTTTTTGAACAATCTGAAATGGAAATTGAAAGATATGGGTTTTGATTTTTTGAACAATCTGAAATGGAAACTGAAAGATATGGGTTTTAATTTTTTGAACAATCTGAAATGCTATGCCGATATGGGTTTTGATAGGTAATAGGTTTTGAACTTTTTTCCTAGTTGGTTTTGAACTTTTGATTCTTGCCATATGGGTTTTGAACTTCTGATTCTTGTATGGTTTTGTAGTTTGCAGTTGCAAAGAGGGAGGGGGCAAGATCAATGTCGAGAATGAGAATAAAGATGGAGAGGGCTATTTTAGTCTTTTCACATTTAATGTTATATTATTAGTTTTTTTAAATCATAAATAGAGGGTTATTTTAGTCTTTTTGTAGCTCCGGTACTGGTTAGTAGCGGTCAACGCCCAAAATGCACTAATTCGCACTATTTTTAAAGTATAGGGGAGGTAAACAAACAATGGGGGGTTATACGCACTATCTCGATATCACAGGGGTGTAAAGCGCACGCGACCCTTTTATTTTTGGCAATTTTCATAGACAAAACAAGTCTAAGTCGAGTTGTAATTCAAATTACTTGTTCTGCAAGTTATCAAGTTTGACTACGACTACAGAACTGGAAAGTGTTTTAAAGTTACTATATGTGAAGGTCATTAGAAGAAAAAGTTAAGAACAACACTTTAGGAAGAATTCTAAACAAGTAAGGATATCAGACTTACCATATACAGTGTTTTAAGGCTGAACAGAACCAAAATGAAGTTCTTGACTACTTGAACAGGTTTAGCCCCTCTGAACCGGTTCAAGTAGTCAAGAACTTGATTACCATATACAGTGTTTTAACGCTGAATAGAACCTAAATTAAGTTCTTAACTACTTGAACTGGTTCAGCCCCTCTGAACCAGTTCAAGTAGTCAAAAACTTGATTTTGGTTCTGTTCAGCCTTAAAACACTGTATATGGTAAGTCTGATGTCCTAACCTGTTTAGAATTCTCTGAATCGATTCAACGGCTCAAGGTTGGCTTCGAAAATCTCTCTGCCAATCTTGAACCGGTTCAACTCCTCTGAACCGATTCAAAAAGTCCTATTCATAATACAACTTTTAGTTTCCTTTTCTTGAATTGTTTCCCAGTTGGTCTAGAATTGAACCAAGTCTTATGCACGAATTTTTCATATTTTCAGAGGGACTAGGTTATTCTATACTCTATATAAACCATGCAATATACATTGGTTTAGGTACAACTTTTATTATACAAATTCATTATTCTTAAAAAGCCTTAGGAAGATTCTTTTTCTCATAAAATCAAAGTCGATTTTTCTGTTGTCTTCCTAAAACACACACATATTCACCTAGTAAGTTTAGAGTTGTGATGTTTAAAACCTGATTATGATCATACAGTTGCATCTACATCGATCAGACAAAAGCAGATTTACTTCTACATCGAATTTAGACAATTGAAGAACAGAAGTGAAAACGATCACACTTTGAAAGGGTTGGAGTATTTGAGGAGTGTTGTCTGATATACCTGCTACTTTCCTACGAATATCAAGCCTAAGCTTGAAATCAAGTTGCTGTTGAACGGGGAGTCTCAAAGTCAGATAATTGTCGGCAACTTTGGACTGCACAGTCCACGAGATTTTTCCCATAATAGTTGACATATTTTATCAACTGGGGTTTCCTCGCTAAAATCCTAGTGTCATCTCTAACTTTATACTTTGCTTTATTTTATCTGCATGTGATTAATTATTTAAACAGCTAAAATAAGTAAAGTTGATAAAGACACAGATCTATTTTAATATAATTAAAACTTTCTAAGTACATTCCGCTGCGTACGACTCACATGTATACATCGGTCCATCAGCGGAGCCAGGATTGCAAAGTAGGGAGGGCTAAACATAATTAAACCAATGATTACTTAGTGTGTCATTCATACTCTAAATATATAATTATCATGCATCAGTTATTCAATTAAACCCAATAATCTACAACCTTCTAACACATTTACACTTCCAAACTCTGACGTATTTTTACAGTCAAGAATCCATTGATGTTTGTTTCATGCAAGTATTAAAACAAACAACTATAAGAATGCATTATATATATGTTCCTTATCAATAAATTCACATTAGAAAGTAAGACCTATGTGTTCCGCCTTGACTAGTTATTAATCCCTTATATAGTAAATTACCTAATTTAACAAGAAATTATCAAGTCATCAACAAAGCCCCTTTTTTTTTTCTTCTACAAAAAAAAAAAAAAAAAAAAAAAAAAAAAAAAAAAAAAAAAATTATAACTCTTTTTTATTTATAGAAATACTATGGATTGGGCTGGGCTGATAAGATGAGGAAGAGTAGTACATGGACCTATAGGAACAATAGTACTAATTTTTCTTTTTTTTTCAATTGGACATGGGCTATAGCACAGGTTAGCCCATTACTAGTTCCTCCTTTGGGTGTATGGTGTTAATCAAAGGAAATACAGTGGGTAAGTGTGTTGATTGGGCAGTCTGCACATGAGGTGCAGTTCGAGTACTGTGATTTGAGGGACAAACTGTTTTGGGTATAGGTACTAAAAGAAACTATAGATGGTGGTGAGAGGAATACAGGGTGTGTCATATTTTGGGGTGTTCTTTATTCTTGTATTTACTAAAGTTTTGTGGATAACTTGAGTGGAATTCCTCAATAATATATATATATATATATATATATATATATATATTTGATAGTGGAATATTGTCGGTTTGTCTCGTGATTTCCCTTTATTGTTGGAGGATTTTCCATGTTAAATTTGGTGTCCTTGATCTCTTTATTTTTTAATATCTATTTTACTTGTGGATTGGCTTGGTGGTTAATTTAAATTCTTGGATTATTTTGTTTTCATCAATCCACACACGAATTGGGATTGTTTCCCAAGAAGTGGTATCAGAGCTAAGGTTGTTGGTTAATGTTTTCGTATGGGGTCGAGATGGAGGAGATACTATGGGCCATGATAAAGTTAACGGTAACCAATTATGCTATCTGGAAACCAAGAATGGAAGATATCCTTTACTATAAGGATTTATATAACTCTATTGAGGGTGCAGTGCCAAGCCTATTGAGAAAGTGCTAAAGATTGGG